AGTAACTCAGAAGCAGGGAGACTTGGGGGAACAATGTGGTGAATGATGTTATCAATTTAGCATGAATTTCAGTAGACAGGCTGATACTGCTGGGGGAAGTACAAACTCTTCTCTTGAGCTGTCTCTGCTTGTCCTGTGCCACCTTCAGCTGGGACCTTATCAGAAACACATTATGCAGATGCCACAGGTGTTGGAAAAAGAACTGTCCCCTGAAGCCTTCAAATGTCATCAAAGTGATCACCCAAACCAAAGGACAGCCTGTGAGCCCTGTTCATCCATCTCTGCAGCAATGGCCACGGTTGCCATATCATGCTGTGATCAGACTTCTCTGCGTGCATCCCACACTGTGACATTCTCCAGCATGGGAGGATTTGAATGGTCTCACTGAAATGAGGTGTGAAAACCAAAGCTACTGTGTGGATTTGCATTGCCAACATGCAGCAGAAATCCCCATCCACAGTCAGAGGTCTGTCCTCCCAAAGCAGCTGCTCTTGGTTGCCTTCGACTTCCCAGGCACAATCCTCCAGAGATATCAACAAAATAACTTTGACAGAGATAATTACAGCTTTTAGCAACAGGATTTACATCTCGTATCTCTGCTGAACCCCAGGGACGCACCCATTTCTCTGCCCAGACCCTTTGCTGAATGCCGTAGCATCCAACATGCACTGTCCAATTCTCTCCAACCTATAACTCTGAAAGATACAGTCCTGGCTGTTCTGATGTGCCCCTCTGCTCTCCAGGAACCACCTCATATTCCTCTCAAAGTAGTCTGTTAACACACTTAAAACCATTGCTCGCAAAGTACCGTTCTCCCCCCCCACCAGTTGTATCATGGGAGCTATAGGATAATTTTTTAGGAAAAGATATGAATCCTCATCCAACTGCTCCCTAAAGCAGCCCTTAGGGTATCAGCACAATGTCCATCCCCTGCATCCAGTGGTGCAAAAAACACAGAATGACCTGAAGCATTTGCTGGTGTGGGCAGAGAAGGATATCTCTGCACTGGCCACATTTTTGCTTTTATCTTTTCCTCATCAAAAATGAACTTCCACAAGAGCATACAATGGCAGAAGACTGCAGCCAAACTGATTTCTGTGGCAATTTCTGTTGATTCCTCAAAGGATTTAGGATGGAGGACCCTCTGGAAGTCCCCATGCCAACCTCCTGCTCAAAGCACTGCAAGGTCTGTGACTCCAGCTGTCACAGGAGTACCAGTGCACAGAAACGCATCTATCAGCCCGTGCAGAAGTATGGGTTGGGGAAAACTCATCATTTCCTGATATTTCTGGGGCTAGAAATTATGGTCATTTATCTTGGTGCTCTGCTCTTCTCTGTTATCAGACCCTCAGGTCTCTGCTCCAGCAGAGACGCCTATGACAGCGCAGATCCATTTATCTTCCCCAGGAAGTTTCCCCCAAAAGGAACCCAAGGACCATGCAGGTGAGCACTTGGAAAGATGCAGACACCTCAGATTCCCAGAGATAAAAGCTGCCATTAAAAAGGCATAAACAAAGGGCATCATGAGCATTTTGCCACGTCTCCGAACTGGAGAGGAGGCAGAAATAACCTTTACACAATCCCATTAGCATTTTCAGTGAAAACAACAGCATTATAGGAGGGAGAACAATGTATTTTCTTATCATCCAGAAAGGCCAAAGGTATTTATCTGATTTAATATTTTATAATTGATTAAGCAACAGAAAGGATGCGACAGGCAGGCAGGAGACAGCTGCGGTGACGTGGCAGAAACTGCCCTCTGCTTTTCCAGCAGTGTGTTTCCCAGGTCAAAGCACAGCTGCTCTTCTCTGCAGAAATCCCCTCAGAAAAAAGGATTTCTCTCAAGCCCAGCTGCTGTAGGGACCCACTTCCAAAAGCAGGTTCCTCCGTGTTTACCATGCTGCTACTTAGTGCTGTTACAGTGCCACATCTCTGCAGGAGACAGTGCTCCAACCTCTGCAGTCCAAAGGGAGGAAACACCTTCAGCCTGCCTGTGGTCATCCATCCTCCCATTGGAGGGCAGGTGCTGATGGGCGCCAGCCTAACTTCCATGTCCTCTTCCGTGGTGGGAAGAGGTTTGACGAAATGGAATACTATGGAGAAGAGATGCTGTGGATAGGCATAGATGAGCAAGAAAAGAGGCAGGAAGCTCGAAATTAGGTGGTGACACCCAGTGGGAAACAGGGCAGCCAGCACACGTGTCAACATCCATTGGCACTCTGCTAGCATGGCATAGCACCCAGAGGAGCAGGAAGTCTGGACCAGAACACCTTCTCCTTGCCTATCAACACTCAGTCTCATGGTCGTGGTCAGGTTGGGATTGATGAGACTTGTAGCTGTGCCTGGCAGGACCCCCTTTGCTCCTCAGCTGAGCATTGGCCTTCCAGCAAAAGCACTGCAGGCATACTCATGTATGAGATCTACAACTACTTGCGTAAGTACCTCATGTTTTTTATCTCCATTAAAGAATAGAAATTAGGTCATTCTTTGCTGAAACATTCTGGAAAGTCATCACTGAAATCTCTCACTTGCTTCTTCCATCTGTTTATTTCTACCACTTAATAACACGTCTGTCTCATCAACCATTCCTGACACTGTGGCAAGAAAATCCAACTTGGCGAAGACAGCTTTATCAAAGAGACATTTGCTCATCGTGTGACAACGCATCAGTGCTTCTTGTGTATATGCAGTCTGGTCTGTAATTTCAAAGAGTGCCTTCCATTTCTTTCAGGAGGTGATATGACCAAGACATTTGAAGCTGTTGATTATTATGCAAAAGGTTATCCAAACTGTGAAGATAAGAAGCAACTTCAAGCATTTCAAGGAGGCTCATCTGTTTGGCGATGTGTTCTCTTCAATGTTACATGATGTCATGGGCCCAATTTCAAGTGATTAGTAACAACAGCAAAGCAGTCACTGAAATAATCTTTGATAGAAGAGAGAACTCTGCAACCATATGAAGAGGCTGTGCTATCAGCTTTTTTCTCAGCGTTAACAAAGTCTGAGCCTGCAGGCTTCACCACACCACCACACCTGCTCCTGTCTTTGCTTTCCAAAGAGCTACCCAGGCAGTCTGCAGAAGGGGAACTTGATGGAGTGTAGCTCAAGCCTTTTAATTTGAGCAATTTTATGTTTACTGCCTTCATAATGGATGACCTCACTTACTCTTTTTATTTAAATCCATTCTCCTGGCTTCATTACTGAACAATACGATTCTTGGGGAAGCGTGGAACAATTGAATCTGTACAAAAGAAGTTTAAAACCAGTTGAGTTGAAGCAGTGTCCTTGTTTTCTTTTTCTTTTATGTATTTTATGAGGGTTGCTCCAAAAGTAACGTCTCCTGTTTTGTGATGTTGGTCCATGATGTCAGAGGCGCACGTTGGTGCTACAGCAGTAGAGGCTGAACCTTTGCACCAGTATCCCGTAACACACTGTTGCTGCTGTGTGGCACAGGGCAGCAGAGGGGTGGGCCGTCAGATTGGTGTTTCAAACTGCTATGGTAGGAAAGGCCAGAAAGTAGCATGAGATTGGCAGGTGGCATGGAGAGTTTCAGCTTGTCGGCTTGACAGTTGTAAGTTAGTTAACAACTGAGACCAAATCTTGAAAAATCTACTGCCAATGAAAGTGTGCCAGGTTTAGATATATATGCCAGCCTACATATAGCACAATTCTTAGCTGCACACCGGGCCAGTGATTTTCCAGCCATTAATAAAACAGACACAGTGGCATTTCCCTTAACTTGCACTGCCAGTTTGGGTGAGTTTCCTTGCTTTGTCAGAAACTGCCCAGCAGCAGCCGAAGAGCAGAGCATTAGTCCCAGACACTGCAAAACAAGCTGAGCACATCGGGCTGCTGGGCATGGTCCTTCCTCTCAACGGTTTTCCATTAGCAGAGAGGAAATAAAAAAGTGAAGATTGAACCCCAAAATACCAAACATTTAAATATTACTGTTTTCATCAGATTAATGTTTAAAGTTTCAGTTAACTTGGTGCTTGTCAAAGACAGGGAATTTAACTGGAGCTGAGTTTTTGTAGCCCCACCTTGCCTGCAGCAGTGCAGCTAATGAAGAAGTCCCAGCCTTCAATGGGTTTTGTAGTCCTTCTGGAAGGACCAATCTATTGGGGTGGTTTTCTTAGTAGAAGTAGCAAAAAATAACACGAGCCTACCTGCACTGCCTAGCCATAGGATCTGTCCAGGCTTTGACTCCATGAAGAACTGCAGTGAGGTAACATCAAATTTCCAGGTTTCTAAGCTTGGAGACATCATCCACTACTCTGCCACAGCCACACCACGAGCAGTGTCTGAAATGTGGGTGCATTCATGGAGATGGGTGCTCCTTCCTTCCTCTCCCCTCCTGGGAGAGCCCAAGGACCATTGCTGAAGACCAGACACGCATAGTCATGTGAAGCATGGCTGTATTGGATAAGTTGTCCATTCTGTGCTGGGTGATAGAAACACCAATTCAAGGGGAAATTACCTGCACTTAACATTTATCCCACCACCTAAGTGAGGTAGGGCAATAAAGGCATAAACACCTTTATCCCTTCCTACAATGAATCCAGGCCCAAGCAGGAGTCACCATCAAGCTATCACCTTAGTATCTGGGCAAACAGATGCAGTACCTCTTTGAGGGCAAGTGCAAAGCGCTGCCAGACCTGAAGAAGAAGCCAACAAAATTCAGCTCCCACTGTAGACAAAAATAGGTAGACTGGAAGGATCTTCACATTGCAGAGGCTGACTTCTAGCAGAACTGGTGCCAGGGCAGCAGGCTTTTGCAATTCAGCTTTGCAAATGCTTGCCATCTCAGCAGAAACAGAAGGTCAACTGAGGTACATGGAAATGTGGTGGTAGGGCTGGGTTTGGGTCTCCGGGAAGATGCAGAAATGCTGCTGAGAGGACAGGTCCTATTTGGCGGTTGGGAACAGGAAGGAGACCTCCTAAGCCTGGCCCTGCCACCCCAGGGCCACCCTTTGCAAAGGAGACGGATAGTTCACAACGAATGCTGGCATTATTTTATCTATACATTTCATCAGACATTATTTCAGCCTAATTAACGTCATTTGATCCATCTTCTAAATCCACACTTCAGTATACGGTCTGTTAAAAGAAACAATCCTCAGACATAAAAGCCCAGAAGCTACAGTTCAAAGCATAAAGAGCATTAGAGCAATATTAAATCACACCCTGGCAATTAGGGGAAAAAACATAAACTATTAACTTAGAGCCACATGAAACTATGCATCCAAAAACACCAGTAGTGTTTTATTTAGAAAAAATACAGTCTTGCTATAAATTAGATTACTAATTACAGGAGATGACACTTACTGTAAGAGCCAGGGACATGTTTTGCCCCAGTAGTACAGAAGGATAGGTAAAATCCCTCCCAAATGCCTGCACAACAATTCCCACTGACCTGTCTTAAGTTTCTGCTGGTGTTGATTTAATCTTCGGTTCTCCCTTCAATTAGTTTATTATTTTCTGGTTTGGTTTCTCTATCAGTCCATCTAATTTAAACTACATCCTGTATTATTATTTTTTTGGAGCTTTACTTTTTTCTTTAGGAGACTTTCTCAGCTTCAGACAGATGGGGCCTCTCTTCTTTCTCCTGGCTCTACTCACTCTGAGAATAAAAGCCTCCTCTGTTCTCTTTGGACTGGCTTCCAGCATTTGTAGGATGGTTTATCTGGAAGGAGCATTTCATATTTTTCCATGCTGCAATAGACAGTCCCTGCTGTGGACAGACACACTGCTGAAGAAGAACCAAAACTTACAAAACATTCACTCCATCCCTCTTTTAGAACTCAGGAACTTTCCCCATCCCACCAACCTTGACTTCTCAAGGAGTCTTTGACCTTCAAGATGTAGGATAGAGATCCCACACCTCAATGGGGTCACTGGCCTCCTTTGCACTGTTGGACTGCCCTCCCCTGCAGAGCTCTGCCGAAACCACTACTCGGCAACAATCAGAGGGGCAGGCAGGGAGGGGACCGCAGCTGCTCAGGCTGGCCCTCCTCACCCACGGCTCTCCCAGGACGGCTGGTTCTCTACAGAAGGTAGTGCTTTGAGTTGCCTGCAGTGAATGCACATTGAGGCAGGCACTTTGGAAAAAACAGTTGCACTAATAATGATTTTTTTTTGATGTTTTTCCTCCTTCACCCTAGCCTTTTCCGTCCCCTACATATAGGGGATTCTATGTCAGAGGAACTCAAGACCACACAGGATCTAACTCCACCTTATGCCCTGTGTAACAGACTAGAAGGGGCATGCTTGCTTTTACGAGCAAGCAATTTTCTTACCCCAAGTATAAATACATTCAGTAGAAATACATAAACACATAATTTAAAACCTGCTTTGACACAGGCAGGACTTGCAAGGAGGGAAAACTCCCGTGCAACCCCAGGGGAAAGCTTACACACTGACCCAGTCTGATCTGGGTCCCTTGGTCACTCCTTACGTCCTTTGTACAAGTGGTAACAATCAGTAGTTGCACTGATTTTCAGACGGTGCCTGTGCTGTACTGCAGGACTGTAGTGTTTGTGGGTTTCTCAACACAGTTAATGCCGCAAATCCTGCTTTCAGGCACTTGCCTAGCAAACCCTGATTTACAGAAAGTATCAGCCTGTGCCCTTGATATAAGCACTGGTGGGTGCCACCTGCCAATATTATGACTTGTCGAGAGGCCAGGTCCTCTGCCAGACAACGCCTTGGTGATGTCTGCAGAAATTTCATTTGGACAGGGTGATCGCTAAGCCTGGAAAGCAGCTCAGTTCTGCTGCGTTAACATCTGAAGGCTGTGCATGCCAGCTCAAGGAGTCAGGGGTGCTCCTGCCCTGGGCCAGCCTGCAGCAGGGCTGAGCAGAGCTCGCTCATGCTGCGCTCATCATTCTCCTCCGGCTCACTGCTGGACTTGGAGGGGTTGCTGCTGGGCAAGCTGCGGCCAGTGCCTGTCCTCAGGGCCCCACCGGGGTCTGCCCAGGCTGGAGTGCTGTCATAGCTGGGCCGGGTGTAGTTCCTTTGGGTGAAAAACTGCCCCAGCAGCAATTTTGGGAGGATTTTCTGCAGGCTTTCACAAGTCCTCTGCTTTGTGCTCAGCTGGGTGTAATGCAAATCCAACTGCAGGACCACATCCATCTGGAAGGAAAGAATGAAGGACACAAAGTGAATTGGGCAGAAGAGCTGAAGCAGAGCTTTTTGCTCCATCAGAACACCCGACAGGCTCAGCTGCCATTCTGAAGGCTCACAGCCCCATGCTGTGGTATGCCAGGGCAGTGCTGCTGCCTCAGGAAGTGAGCTGCTATGTACATTTATGGCATCTACAGGCCTGAGCCACAGTTTCTGGATTTCAGGACTTGTCCTGATATCAGGCCACCTCACTGGAGACCTCACTGAATAGGTCACTGAGAGCACCGAGGCCTTGGGGCAGAGGGAATGCCATGACATCCACCCTGGTCATCACGTCCATCCTTGCCAAAGCACAGCACTGCACACACAAGAGGAAGGCATGCAAGGGCACGGATGCGAACCACTTAAAGCACATATGCCTCAGTACAAAAAAAATGACAGTTCCAAACAGCAGCACTCTGCAAGGATCCATTTGCAGTCTATCTTTATAATACATGGTGAAAGATTCGGAAAATAACAGGCTTGTGGTAGCCACCCCCCTGAATATGGAGCCTTAGCATGGGGCTGTGCCCAAGATGCCTGGCTGTACAAAGCAGGGAGATGGCTCATGCAACACAAAGGAGATTTTTCCTACATGCCTGGCAGGCAACAGGGTCCAGCTCTCATATCAGCATTTAAAAGCTTGGGAAGGGTTCAAGGAAAGAACTCCAGAAACAATCAAGTGCTGAAAGAGCTGTCATACGCTGAGGCATGTATCCTACCGGGCTAATGCTGCTTGCTGTAGGCAGATCCACACAGCAGCTCGAGAGCAATGTTCAGGGTGAGCCTGTGTGGAGCCCTGCAGATAAGCATCTGGCAAGACCCACTGTCTGGGTGCTAGAGGAGAAAAAACTAAGGGAGAAACAAGGTGCATGCTGCTATTTGCAGAGAAAGGACTTGCCGGAAGAACCAAGCCAGGGAACCAGTAATAATGCCTCTCACGTGGTCTTTAAATAGTCTTTTGAAAAGTGCCAAGGAGGCAGTCTGGCTCAAACTCAGTAGTACCACTCTGACAGCAGGAAATAATCCCTCCTGCCACTCAAGTTCAAGTCCATCTCTCAGGCAAGCAGAGTGCTTAGTGAGACATCCTTCATCCACAACATTTGGGCTACTCTGACCTCTCTGAGGCTGCCACAGGCAAGGAACAGTCTCTCTGGCCAGGCACTGGAAATGGAGAGCGAAACAAGAGAAAAGCAAGCTTTTGTGCCCACCAACAAGCTCTGCTAACATCAATCTGGGCATGACGCTGACACCCCAGATGCTGGGCATCTTCTGCATGGAGCCAAGAGTTATATGGTCAGAGGGGGACAGCCAGCAGCAGTGGGAAGTACTGCTTCTGTGAGGCTGCAGGAAACTGTACTGTATACTCTACCTGAATTTTCTGTAGTCCACAGAGTTGGAAGATGCAATCCAGTTCCTCCTGCTTGTAAACAGAGGTGAGCAGAGAATCCATTTGGTCTGGGTGGTTCTCTTCCAGATTGGCAACATCATCCACTTCCTAGATCAGGAAAACAAAGGAAATGTTAGGAAATCTCAGCATCTGCCTGGGCATGGAGACACAGCTGCCCATCAAACATGCTGCTTCTCTACACAGCAGTGCCTGGGGCTGGCCTGTGCTCTTGACACTTGGTCTGGTGGCAATGTGGTATACTCTAACTGAAATACTACAGAGCGCAAGCAGCAGGAATACAGATTTTACAAACTTATCTCAAGTAGATCAGTGGCAAAACCTAGCTGAACACCCTCTGAGGGCAGGAAATCTCTATTATGGGATTTCCAGTGATATAGATAGCAGCAAAAGCCAGTATCACAATGACCTGTAGTGTAAGAGGCCTGTGGAGGAGGGAGTAAAGAGCTTCCCAAGGGCACAGATGGAGGGAGATCTGAGTTGTGCTGGGTAATGAGTTAGCCCCTGCCATTTACAGAACTGTCATTTCCTGCCTAATTACTCAAATTTCTCCAGAACAGTTCCCTCTCTCTAAGATCCTCATCAGTAACATTTGTCTCCAGGAACATCCCCTGAACTGCTGCTTGCAGAAGGCCAAAGTAATCTGTTTCTGGCCAGAAGAATATTGGCAGTGGAAGCTAAAATGCTGGATCCTAAATGCTGGGATTTGCAGACATGAGAGTCACCTTTGCCTGCAAGGCTGGAAGAATGGGAGTAAAAGTCGGTTGTCCCACACTGCTGCTGATCCAGCAGGTCCATTGGTGGGAGGCAGGCTGAAGAAAAGCATTTATTACTGTATAAAGCAAAGTCAAATTCCATCTCCACAACTGGCAACTTGTTACTGGTAAGAAAAACTGGAAAGCATCTAGGATAGATCAGGGCAGAAAATGGACCTGGCAAAAAGGGAGGTGGATGTGCCAACAAAGGGCGGACACAGCTCATAGGGGGTGGAGCAGCTGTCCTGCAAAGGGAGCCTTTGGCCAGCCTGAACTGAAATGGGAGACAGACTGCAATGCAGAACACTTTCTGCAAACAAACACTGCCCTCTCCTGTCCTCTCCTTGCTTGACTCATTGCATCAGGTATCTGCTCCAAATCCCAAACGGACACTGCTATGCTGAGCCCAGCAGCTGGGTTAAACTAAACCTGCAGACAAAACAGAAGCACAAAGGATGTAATCCTGGATGCCACTGACGCAAAGCTTCAGCAGGAGGCCTGCAAAAGGGAGCAGAGTGCTCCTACAGCACCCAGCTAGCTCAATCTCACCCGATACTGCTGACCTTGCGCTGCAGTATGCACTTAGGTGAGGACAGGATAAGCATGCAGTCAGCCTCTGCAACAGGAAAATCACCAACTCTTTGAGTTAAAGGTGGTGCTTGTACTTTCAGTAGCATTAGGAAGGCCTGTTGAAGCTGGAGTGGGCTGTGTCCCCTTCTTTCTCCTTGCAGGCACTGATGTGCAGTTGACATTGATGTGTCAGGTGACTTCTAAGTGCCTCCTTTTGCAACTGCATTACCAGCCACTGTGAACCTTCAGAGATTAACATCACAGTTTGGTTCCAGCAGGGCAGGGATGCTCAGATCTGTTCTAGCACACTACACTCTTCTCCTGAGTGTCTGTTTATTGGTTTGCAATTGGACTGTGATGCCCTATTTTCATCCCAAGAAAAATTCAACATTATGGGTGTGACTAACATGAATATAGTAATACTCCATTACAACATAAAACATGGTGCATGGGAAGCCAGACAGCACCAGGAATCTGGATTGGGTTAACCACATAGTGTCCCTGAATGGTACCAATCCAGTCCCAAGAGCTGAATATCCCAAAGAGATGTGCTGCATCTCTCTGGCACAGACATGGGAAGGAAACAGTCCCAAACTCAGTGCTTCAGCCTCAGCAACACTGAGGAGAGCTCACACTCATCTGGGAGCTCTTGTTTGTAACCTCAGCAGAGTTTTCTGCCCTGCTTTGGTTGCACCAGTGGCTGTGGACTGACCACAATGACCCAGCTGTTTCCCCCATTATGCACAGCATAACTATTGCTTACTTCTGTCCATGTCCAGACATTGCATCTGTTAAGTAACAGCCTTGCCATTAGACTGCATCTTTCTAAAATCCAATCCTGTCTTTCAGCACCCTGTACTGCTGTGCCACTTTACAGGACCCTGCAGGCGTTTATGGACATAGATTAGATTCCCCTGAGCCTCCCCTTCTCCAGTCTGAAGTCAGCTCTCTCAGCCTCTCCTTGTAGAAGAGATGCTGCAAGCCCTTCGTTGGCCACTCTCAGGTCTCTCCTGCCCAAGTTCAGGTACCTGTCCTGGCTGCCATGACAGAAAGCAGTCTCACAGTGACATCTGCTGGCTTCTTCAGCACTTGAGGGTGCATCCTGTCAGGTCCCACAGACTTGTGTATGTCTGAGATCAATTAGAAGCTCCCAGAACACTCATGCAGGCCTCCCTCTGTCTTTGCCTGCTTTCCTGTTCACTGGGATATCTGAGCCAAGAGGGGGATCCTTGAAAACCCATCAGTTCTCCTGGACCTTTCATCTCTCCAGGGCTGACACTCACAAAAAAACAAACAAACAAACAAAAAAACAAAAAAAACCACCTCTTGAAATCAGTGACCTTCAAGACAGTTATCTGGGCAAGGACTGACCACATCTCGAGGAATCAATTAAAGTCTTGACACGTGTGATTCAAAGCTCCTTTGTTGACAGCAACTTGTTATCCACATGTATCTGCACAGGGATGTGGTGGAGTCACTGTCCCTAGAGGTGTTCAAGAACTGTGGATATGTGGCACTGAGGGACACAGTTTAGTGGCCATGGTGGGGATGGAGTTGATAGTTGGACTAGATGATCTTAGAGGTCTTTTCCAAACTCAGTGATTCTACAAAATGGAGGAATGTGACTGGGGAGGCCATTAGGTCAAACAGCTCCGGAGCAAGTGATTTGATTTCAGAATATGGAGATCCAACACAGAAAGTAGACATTCAGATAGTACAGATTAAAAAATGGGGATGCCTTAGATCTCCGCATAATTCATTTCAACTTATATAATAAAATAGTATTTCTCTCTGAGAACATTGTCTGTCAAATGAAAATTCAAGATGAGGGATGGGAGAGAACACCAGCACTACAAAATTAAAGAAAATGGACCAATGCTAGAAAACACCATTGTGATTATCTCTGACAAGCCTTACTGCAAGCCCAGGCTCTCCACTTTTGTAGGCAGAACATGGCAAATGCAAAAACTGCCATTTCCTCAACCAAATATTTCCCTGGGCTCATTCCATGGGGCTTAAAACATACAGGAGCCAGGTGCCCTCCTACAGACATCCTTGCATCTCTGGTTTGGTCCCGAAGATGGGTAAGGTAGCCTTGCTGTGGGTGTCTAATGGGGCAGACCAATTGCAACCCAGTCAGGATGTGCTGCCATGTCAGCACACACCACTGGAGGTCAGTGTGGGCTATCACTGCTGAGGAAAAGGAAAAGGACAAGGACGGGGGATCGATCCCACCTGCTCTCCCGGATCCCTTTCTGGTCTGCCCCGACTTTCTCCTGTGCCAGCCCTGGATGGAGAAGCGAGCATAGGGGTGTCCCCTTCCCACAAGCGCTGCTGTGAAGAAGATGTGCACACACATGCACACAATTTTCATGCATGTTAAGGGAGCTCACAAGGAGAAATGATGTTTTGGCTTGGTGGCAGGTAGGATCAGGCTCCAGACCTCTGCTGGACGCACAGTTCCACGCCAGTGACAGTAAGGTATCTGAGGGCAGCATCCCTCCACGAGCAACAAGGGCAAAAAGATCCAGTGACAGTCATGCTGTCCTTCAGCAAAGGGACTACAGAAAACAAGGAAGATTATTAGCAAAAAGGAGTAGCAAAGAGGATTAAATCCTTAGAGACAGTGCAGAGGCCACTAGAGCTCTTACAGGAAAGATTCACAGAAGTTGGTACGGCTCAACACAGAACAAATGCAAAGGATGTACTGTTGCATGGAGTTATTTTATAATAGTGGGTTAAAACAGCATCATTCAAAAAGCCAGATCTGCTTCCAAACACAGAAAACGGACAGGCTTTTCATCTCAATCAGATTAAATGCAATAATTCATCAGGCAGGTCAGAAAGCAGCCTGAGAAATAACTGGTTAAAGGCACTGAAACCAGTACTAAATCCTTTTCATAATGCATTAGAAGCAAGGCAGGCCACTGAGATGTGGAGGGAGCATTTATAAGGCACAGAGCACTTGCAGAAAGGCAGTGATAACATTAAGAGTGAAGGGGATCCTTTTGCAAGTTCAGCCCTCAGGCTCACTATAATTCCCCTCCCTTTGCTGCTGCAGGGGGAATCGAGGGAACAGGCCCAGCATCCTCCCACAAAGGACTCACAGTGGGCTGGCGGAGCATGAGCTGTGCATCAGCGATGTGCACCGGGAGGTCCTGCAGCTTGGCGCAGACAGACAGCACGTTGGAGAAAAGCCGGTGGAAGCGAAGCTCTGCCTGCACCCCACAGGGGAACGTCACTGTTTCACTTGGGGGCTCTGCAAGGGAAAGCAGAGCAGGGTGAGAGGTCGGCTCCTGTGGGGGTCCCGCTGCCATCTCCCTGCAGGGTGGTGCCTGTGAGGGGCACGGGGTCCCCCTGCTCCCTCCTGCCTTGCCTGGCTGCTCCCCACACAGCTCACCGTGGCTGCATCCCCAGTGCTCTGCGGCTGCTCCCATGGGGCAGATGGGGTCCGTCAGGGAACGGGCTTCCTTCAGAGTGTGCTTGATCTCCATCACTTGCTTCCCAGTGACCACGGGATCCCGGCCAAGGTCTGGAGAAGACATTTCAGTGGCACAAGTGTCACCCCATGTTCCTTATTTACCACTTGCCTTTCAGACCCTACATCAACATACTGGTTCATGCTGCCAGGTCACTAAAACCTTGCATGGGGTACAGTCTGCAACTTCATTTCTGGGGAGGAAGAGTGGGGGTGCTGATCTTCCCTCTCTTCCTTGCTAGGATTTGGTTTCTGCTAATATTTTTTCTCATCCCTGCTAGGGAAATACATATCTAGCTCGGGTACAAACCACTCCTTTACCTTCTAATACATCCTCCAGCATGTGTGTGACTTTCTTCTCCTGCAAAATATGTTTCTTCAAATATTTCATGAAGATTCCAGAGCTGAACTCCCCATCCTGCAACTCATAGGCTTCTGCATCTTCGCTCCTGCAAGGGGAACAACTTGTCTTTACCTTTCTGAGATGGGAGGAAGTCCTGGGGGTGAGTCAGGGCTTGCTGACTTTATTCAGGCTGTGCCAGCTGAGCGTGAATTAGCCTCTTATGCAATGTTGCAAAGTGCTTGATATTAGCTCAGGAGAAGGTGGGAAGTGAATAGGATGGGAAAAAAGTAGAGAAAGGGGTCAGAGGAGGAGAGCATTGCCTCTTCTGCCAGCCTCAGTGGGTGACAGCAGCTGAACGGAATTAGAGTTGGAGCAGTAAGCTCATCCTCATCTCAGGAGGTTCCAGATGTCATGCTTGTGGCACACATACTTTGGGAATCAGGTTCAAGCCTGGGAAAGGAGATCACAGAAGCTGATGTCACCTTCACAAGTACCCTATAACTGATGAACAGCTGCCTCTGGCAATATTAGGAGGAAAAAAAGAAGTGTCTGAACAGGAAATACTAGAGATAAAAGGGTGAGAGATGGAGGAAAAATGGAGGAAACATGAGAAAGGCATTCTCAAGCCTTTAAAAGTCTCCAAGCATGAAGTTGTGCAAATAGCCAGTATTTTTTCCTGTGTCATAGTGTGGACACAGCAAAACACACTTACGTGGCATAGCCATAAACAGTATTTCCCCAAGGCTCCAGCGGCTGTACCTGGGAGAGGGCACACTCTGGGTTGTACCTGTAAAAGGAGATGAAGATACCAGTCAGTACTGAGAGCATTTATCAGAGCATGCCTGGAGTGCAGAGCCAGTGTGCTCCATGAAATTAACCTCCTGTGGATGGCAATAAGAACAGCCTTCATATAAAAAATAAATGCTGGTGTTAGTAGGGCAGCAACAGACTAAAGCTAGGAATCCCAAGAACACAAAACCAGGGAGAAATGAGCAGCTAGGGCCACCTCTGACCTATCTGCACCAGTGATCTGCTCTCTACGCAGCATACGAACCTAGAGCTGTGGGTGCAACCTTGCCTCCCCCTTCCTGAGGCTAATTTTTCACAAATTCAAGGGACTCGGAGGTGCGCACAGAAGCACAGCTTGTGGCTACAGCTTGACTGCCTGTCCCAAAGCTATGGGGTGCCCCACAGCTCTCTTTTAGCCCATGCATATACCTTGTGCTCCAGGAAATCAAAGCTGATACATGGCCACATGGATCACTATATGCAATCTCAGAGCTCAGTATTGGTTTTGACACCCTTGTCTAGATCTAGCTCAGTGAGCACCTAGATGATGACCTGTTATTTCCAAGGTTGGGTATATGAGAAGTGATAGTCCTGGTTTCCACAAAGCAGATATCATGGTAACACTCATGGCAAGCCTTGCCTAGAAGCAAATCTGACTCCAGACAGACTGGAGAACATGTTGGGACTGGTTGCCCCTGAGGTAGGAGACCTATACCAGTAATATGGATATGTTCCTGATCGCAAATAGAAAAGAGCACAGAGGTGGTCAGTGCTATTCAATGCCAGAATAGCTTGCTGGGGCTGATGTTGGCACACTAAGAAGAGCAGAAGGGATCACTGCATTGCCAGCACCCAGAAAGTTACCTACTACTGGTGCAACCATCTGGAGAAGATGTTTAACGGCAGCATTAATTTGGCTTGTGTAAATTTTCTAAAGATCATAAGAAGAGAAAATGTTGGAAAGGAAACATGCATCTAAATATAAATAGTGAACAGAGAGATTTATCTGCCCCTTAGATGTTCCTAAATGAATGTAGAAATCTGGAATTCCAGGTCCAAGAAGAAATAAGAGATCCGATCCCCAAATAAGCTGAGGTACTGTTGTCTGCATGCTGGAGACAGTGATCTGAGGCTGGACAGACAGAGGTTGGTGCAAACCTTTTGTGATGGCACCAGTAAAGCCATCTAGTGCGTGCAGTGGAAGTACTGTCCACAGTCCCCTGCCCTAGAAAAAGTTCAGCAGGGTGTTTCCAGACCATGACCAAAGGCAAGGAGATGTCTGATACCAGAGAGCATGGCAGAGCTCCAGTAAAGGTTCATTCAGACTGCATTCATGCAGTTCAGTTCTCATCTGCATCCCAGACAGAAGATGGTGTCCTTTTCCTGCCCTAAGCAGCACAACCAGAAGCCCTCATAAATCAGGGAATTCCTGGAAGAGGCAATCGCATCCTCCCAAAATCAGCACATGAATGCACTAGGTTATACATGATATAACCATGATATATACATGATACACCATGTCCCTGATTCCTCCTGTGCTGAAGCTGAACATCTGCTACCACTTGGCAAAGGAGCCAGGCCTTTCTCATCTCCTTGGTATTTCTGATGCTAACATATGGGGCGAAGAGATACTTGCTGTGAAATCCTCCTTAGCACACACACTGCTCCTCCTGGTCTATGCACGGCTGGGCAAGCCATGGAAAAGCAACAGCCATCTGCAATTCACAACAGCAATTTAACAAAATTGGCATTGGGAAAAGAGGCCCCAGGAGTCTTGTTTTACTGGGTGTTGTGTGAACACATATGACTATGAAATCCAAAGGCTTTGCTGAGTTGAAGCAGTGACTTCTTGAGAAAAACAAGCCCAAGCGGGGAGCCTCCACAGCTATCTGCTGTGTGCCTAATGATAACACCTACTGCACAAAGTGCTGTGCTTGCTGTGGGAAAGGGGATTGAAAAAGTGTGAGACTGGGGGAGGAAGAGAGAAAAACAGCCACATAACATCAGAGCAGTTCTCACATCACACCCTGCTCCCAAAGTGCAGTAAAATTCACCAAGCACATAAATGGCCAGCAACACCAAGGAAGGAGGATCAGCTCAGAACTATTTCGTAGATTGTCGCTGCTCATGTTAGAATTCCCAGGGCAGCCTCCACATAGCAAAGCTGCCTCTCCATCACATACTGCCCTGCTATTTTCAGGCGCAACATTTGACATCTGGACAAGTTCCTGGGCTAACCTCTGCCACCAGATCTGGTAGGAGCTGTGCTGATGATTCAGCAGCTCCGCTCAGCAAGGGCTCTCAGCAGCCTTGGGACAGGTAAGCAAAGCTCTCTCCTCCAGGCAGCAGCAGTGAGCTGCAGAGGGAGCACAGTGATGCTTCGCTATGAGGCATTTGGGGCAGGTATCAAAGGACAGCAAGCTCCGTCACTGTTTACAGTTCAGAGCTGCAGAAGGCAGGGTAACTCTCAGTGCAACTTAGAATAGCTTGTAAGCTATTCAAAGCTAGTGTTTCCACCTCTGCAGCTAAAAAATGCCAAAGAGTCTTTGATGGGCCTGGCAGCTCTTTCAAGGCAGTGGTATCAAAAGTTGTCCTTCCATTGCTCAGTGCAAAACCACAGAAAGAAGAGGGAGAATTTTCTTCCTTCAGCCTCCAGATTCTTCCTGTCCTGTAAGGAGAATAGGAAGCCCCTCTCAGGAGCCCCAAATAAATGAAACGATAACAACTTCTACTGGATAAGCCTAACTGCCTCTGTTGAAAATGGGCAACTAATAATTTTTTGCAGCTCACAAGCTTGCAGGATGGAAAACTGCAGGTCAAGGGATGATGATGGGCTTTCCACACTGAGAGAGGAAAAGCTGATCCCTACCCTCAACAGCAGCCTTGGTCCCACTTCACAGTGCAACTTCAGAAGCCTTTAGAAAAATAAAACCAAGTAGCATGGCTTGAAATATTTTTCCTGTCGTGTTGCACTCTTCTCACTGAGATGGTAACAAAAACACAGACAACACTCCAGGCGACCTGCTCAAATAGCTTGCATTTTGCAGGATTTTTCATCTCCCTTCTCCCTAGCACATCTCAGCCTGGATCTGATGCTTACAAAGCTGTATCTAACATGTGATCAACTGGGCTTCCCAGGAGATCCTACAAAACCTGACAGCCTTGCTGATTTCATGACACAGACGGATAACCTTTCACAGAGACCTTGCCAGTGCAACAGAGGACGTGCTCTTGAAAATCCATAAGAATGTCTCACATAGTTGTGCAGGAACCCATTGCTGAAGGGAGGATGAAGCTGGCAGCTGTTTCCCCAACCCCTTGAAATGCCATGCTCTGCCTGTCCCAGTGAGGAAGGGGGAAGAGCACCCTACCATTTCCTGCAGGTGTCCAGCAGGATCAGGTTCAAGGCTGTCTGCTGCTGCTGCATCTTCTGAAGTATCCTCTGCACGCTGATGCAGTTCTCAGGGGCGTACACTTGTGGAGCATCAACAGGGACCATGTAGTTCCTCCCCAGATGTTCATACCCATGCCCGGCATAGTAGAATATAGCTGGGAACATGGAGAGGAGAAGATGAGTCATAATGCAAGCCTGCAGGTCTGTAGCCAGCTCTCCACAACCATCTCCCACCTCCTGCCCTTTAGGGGTACTGGCTTGGGACAGTTACACTAGGAGCACTTCCAGGCAGACAACTTGAGCTACCCTGACCTCAAAGATATGGATTTTTTCAAATCCATGCCCTTTAGTGGAGCAGGCAGCAGCCCTGAGAGGCTCTCCTGTATTTGTGGTTTCCAGCAGCTCTTTAGGAGACATCAAAGTCACTGGGCTTATAGGTTTGCTAACCCATAATCATTTGTGCAACAACATCCAGGCTTGGCCAGGCTGAATACCACCTCTGAACAAATATTTGGCAAAAAAAAATGATCTCTTTGCAAGAATGTGACAATAGACAAAGCATTTCACCCTGACCAACAATACTTTAACAACCTTTTAAAGAAGAAGCTTCTCAGCTACCTAGTTCGGGACAGACTCACAGAGGCTCAGATGATGGGAAATATTCTTTGGTTTCCAAAGGTCTGCTAGTATTTATACATCTATGAGACAGTGAAAAACGAGACTGAAAAAAACAGAGAGATATGAGAGATGTGCAGAACATGTGGACTGTGTGCTCCAAAACCTCAAAACAGATACTAGCTCTGTAAGGTAGGAGAAGAGACAGACTCATCCAAATGTCGGTGGCAAGTCCAACATCCCATGTCAATTTTGTTTAGGAGCAGAAGAAACGTAACAGTGGTTTCTACCTTCACAAGAGACAGCAACATGGGAACATCCATGCTGGAAAGATCAGCAGAGATGAGCATGGCATGACCAAAGCTGGTGCTTCTCCAACTCCTACACATGCGTTCAGTGAAGGGCTTTCCTTCTGCACGAGAATCCCTAGGTGGCCAGTAGCTTCCCAAAAACAAGCTGTGTGTTGGTTTCCCAGCATTGATAGAACTGCTTGGGGGATGCTGCTGAAAGACAAGTCGGGGAACTGAAATCTGTTAAAAATAGTTCTGTGAGGTGATGCAAGCAGTTGCACTACCGCAATTGAGGTATAGAAAAGAATGAGAGGTCAGAAACGGGAACAAAAGGCTACAAGGCAGAAGTAGAAGAAATTCTTAAGCCAGATTCACTGCCAAAGCCCATGCTTCATTGAATAATCTCTCCTTTATTTTCTTCCACTCTCCCTGCCCCTGTAGTTTGCAAGAAACTCACTTTGATCTCTGCTGTGAATGGGACAGAAGCTGAAGGACTGAAAGCATGACCTCATCCCATGAAGTGAAACCATGACCTCATAGTAAATGAGGCCTAAAGTCATCTTGAGTTTCCGTTCTCAGGGGACAATGGAAAGTTACTCAAATGGCTGTTTTCACAGGCGCCCACGAGGTTTGGGCTCCTCTTCTTAGTGATCAACAGCCAGAAACAGAGGGCTCACATTTGCACAAGTTTTAAACTTTCATAACTAGCAAATCAAAGCCACAAACGCCTCCTCTGAGAATATAGAAGAGTATAAAATGGGAAGAACTATGGAAAAATCAGATACAGGTCTTTCAAGTTTGGACCTTAAAATAGTCAAGCGCATCTGGCTTTTGTCTCTCTGACCCCATTTCTGTACTTATAACAGAGGTGATGACATCCTATACCTAACAACATCACTGACACTTGGAAAGAACTGAAATATTACAGAAAAACCCACAAAGAATCATTAAATTATCAAATCTCTTTGGGGGCCTCGTTTTGTACCTCTGAATGCTCCCTGTGCTATTTAAGCCACAGTTCAAACAGAAAGACAGGAACTTCACATGAGCTGAACAACTCTGCTGCAAATCTCTTCTGGACTGAATTGCTCTTCCTGAACAGGATTGTCAACATTTTGCCCAGAGGGGAAAAGGCGTTTCGGTTTTTTTTCCCAAGTTACATTTCAACACTCTGCCCACATCTTGTGAGTCAAAAACTGCTGATCAGAGACAGGCTTCCAAGTACCAAATTAAAAAGGGGAAGCTCCAGGCACTGTTTATAATACAGGAAATGTCAACATGCAGCTTAATTAACGCATGACGGCATGTTCCTAGTATTTCCCTTGTAAGTTTTTGCTTTTGTTGCATTTCCGACATTTTTGACTCAGGACTTTTTAGGATGCCTGGAGTAACAGCTGGGGACATTTCTTGTTTGTCTGAGGACTGTATAATTAGATTATTCAGGGGATGTTTAGGTCCTTCAAAATGCACTGCACCTTTTGTAAGAGGAGAGCTGGAGAAAAAACAGCCAGATGAGCCACTGCAGTGAATCTCAGAAGGCCTTGGATCACCTCAAACATCCAGGCATGCAATACCATTCTGCCTGAAATTAATTCTTTTTTTTGCTCTGAGCTTGAGAAACCTGTGATGAGGTTGAATAACAAAAAGCGTAAAGTCCTGCACTCAGACGGGTTAACACCAGGCAACATTTTGGCTGGGAATGAGCACTGGCTGAACAGTAACGCTAGAGATAAGGAAAAGGAAACACAGCAGCCACCCTGCTAAAGATGAGCCAGCACCTGGGAACAGAGCTACCTTAGGAGACATGGGACTGGCAGAGCAAGGGAAGTTGCCAGCACCACCACTGACCCTAAAGAGACCCCACTTATGTCCTATGTCCAGTTTTAGGGACTGGACTCAGCTCAAGAAGACTCAGCTCAAGAAGCAAAAAAAAGTCCAGTAGAAACTATTCAGTTGTTGGGCTCCAGGGCCTGGAAAAAGGGGCTGGGCTGGTGATGTGGAGGTGAAAGGGGGATCTAATAACAGCCTACAGCTGCTGGAAGGGCAATTAGGCAATTAACGGGACAACAAAGCCCAATTCTCTTCATCAGTAAAGGCCATAAGACATGGAGCAACACGCTACTGTCTCACCACCATCTGTGTGAGCTATGTCAAAACTGACTCTCTCAGTCAGCTTTAGGTGTTTATCCTGGAGCTACTGCCTTGAAAAAAATGGACATACAGTGTTTAGAAGGAGTTGCTGGCTTCCTCTAAGCATGCATTTCTAATAAAAAGATAAGTTAATTTCAAGGATTTGTGCTTCACCTGGCTCTTTCAATCTCATGCAAAGAAAACAGGTGAAAAAATGCTAGAAGATGAATCAGTGAGAGGCAGCATCATTCAGAAGACCTGGGGCAATCAGCAAGCAGACAGACCCAACACTCCACCCTAAGTCTGGATGCCACCCAATTACAGCAAACATCTTCCACTTGATCACAGTGCTGGGACTGGCCCATGCCAAGGTTCACTGCCTCCAAATAACAGACTGCTCAGCTTAGAAAGCTGTAAAGAAAATCACTATTTAAGGCAGGCTATGCCAAGCAAACACTTGAGGCTTATCAGGGTTCAGTAGCTCAGCTGTTTATGTTTTCCTTGCCAGTGCACAAAATCAATTTTGCCAGGAAGGATCAATGGCCACAAAAGCAGAAAAGCACTGGAAGTTTAAATAAGGCATGACAGCATGAATGGTTTGCCATTTCCCAATCTTTTTTCTCTCCACTGCTTATGAAAACAGGGAAATTACCATGGGAAAAAAAACAACACCATTTGGTCTTCAGGCACTACACATACAAGGCAGGAACGGCAGCGCCTTACACAGACATGTAAAAAGCACAGCAGCTCCCCAGGGAATACTCTGGCTCAGGAGAGGAGACAAAACCTGAGATGCAAGGGGGTTTCAGAGAGCAACCAGAAAAGGAATCTGAAAGTGAAGTCACAGGAATATGCTGTTGTCAGATGACACAGGGCTGGAGCAGCAACCACTGCCTGCTGCCTTTCCCTGCCAACTCAGCCTCCCTGGGTGAGTCAGTGCCTCTGGGAATGAGGGAGCTTTGCAGTGTTTCACTCAGGGCCTCATCTCTATTCATTGCACAATTCCTAACCTCACAGCAAGCACTGAAATTGGCCCTGTGTTGACTTTTGCTGCCTCAATCCCTTGGTACACCACTCAGCTGAGAGGATGGTGAAGATAAGCACTGCTCAAAGCAGGCTGTGCCTCATGCTGATGTTTCAAAGCACAAAAAAAAACTACCAAAACTCAGCAAACATCTGCCAAGTGTTTTTGGAGTATCCATCATGCTGGAAGAATCTCAGAAATCTCAAGGAAGCTACTTTCACCACGAAAATCTGAACACCTGCTTTAAGACCCACAAGATCAGCTCTTTGGTTTTTTGTTTATGGAACACTTCCCCAAGAAGTTAAACCACAAAAGCCACCTGTCTGCAGCTGGGAATATGTGCTTCTGCAAAAAGCCTGTCAGAGGCTCAAATATCAGGAATGAGAAATAAGCAAATTCTGGCCAGCTGTAGCCAATCAGAGATCAAAAGGAGCTCCTGTCTGACAAAGGAGTGCATGGGGCAATCCAAAACCAACCTCCTAAATTTTGTCATCTAAGGAAAAACGTAAACACCCTCTCCCATTCACTATCAGACGCACTGGCTTCCCAAAGCGCAAGCACAAAGCCATGCTAATCGAGTCAGGTTAGCCACATGATGGAGAAAAACCTATTTTGCCTGCATGTAACCTGGCCCAAATTGAATGGTGTTTACCTGGGATTTCTGCCAAGCCTGGCACCACTGCAGACTGTGCTGCAGGGATACCCTAACCCACATAAAGAAAAGTAGGTTAGCAGAGCTCCTAATTTATTTATTATATTTATTTTAATACAATAGCTGTTAGGGAAATTGCCAAATCTCCGCTCCTCCCTTTCTCTGACTGCTGCCACCTGTACATAAACTGCTGCCTTACCATAGACTCCTTTCTCCAGGAGCTGTAGGAACCGACTGACTGCTGCCACCATCTCAGCCTTGTTCAGGTCCAGGAGAGAGACAACTTGGAAGCCCAGCTGCTTCAGAAGAAGACTCAGCTCAAACACATCTGTGACGGGAGCCATCAGGTTTGGATGATGCTGGTAATGGTTGTTGCCCACTAAAAGTGCTAGCTTGCCTGTAGCTAACAAAAACAAGTGACAAAGTTGTAAATGCTCAGCAGGTAGCAAGGTCTAACTTCCTTTGGTTGGCATGAGGACAGGGGAATTCCTTTCTCACTTTTAGGAAGGAAGGTTAGACCTGTCACAAGCCTGCAGCACCCTCCAGAAAGCCCTCAGCTTTTTCAACACTTGAATAAAATACACAAAGCATCATTTTGAAAGAAAGATCTGAAAAGTTTCCACTTGGAAAGCAAAACTCCAGGAGCAGCGGACAATCAGCGCTACTGACAATTTCTGGCACAAGTCCTGTCATGTTTATCTCACGTACTGGTGGTGCCTGGTAGGGGAAAGCTCCGAGCTATCTTCAGAAGTACCTTTCCCCAAGGGAGAAAGGAAAGAAACTCCATCTCCTGCTTTCATTTTAACCGCCAGCTACCTGTGTGGGAAAATCAGATTTCATGGGTTTCAGCAGCTTTGGGGGCAAGGAGCTCTGCTCTGGTCCAAGAAGGTATTTCAAAGAAGGAAAAGGTGTTGTGCAAAGCAGACTTCATTGTCATTTGGCAGGCGTGGAGGCTGAGGCTGGGTTACTCATTAGGAATAATCTTACTCCACACGGTGAGACAGATGAGGTCTTGGCAGGGTACAAGACTCATCCTGTGCCTTACAGATCTGCTCCAGAAAGCAAAGAGCCTGTGGCAGCATTATCATAAAAGCTTGAAATGGCCTGGGCAGGAAAAACGCATCAATGCCCTCGCCTCCTATCTATTATGGAGCTTGACTTTTAATTAAGGGAATAATTTCTCAAGAAAAGACAGTACTCACCAAAAAACTTCTCAGAGCAACAGGTGCCTGGAAAAGAACGAGGGGAATGATAAGTCTGTGCCCAGCATGCAGCATCCCTGTGCCAGCTCCCATGGCAGGTCTGGAACCTGGTCCCATGGCCCCTGGCAATGCAAAGCTGGATCACACAGTGCATCTGCATCCCTTCTGCAACTGCAAAAGTAAAACAGGCTGTTCCTCAAGCATGTTTTTTGCCGCTTCCTTGTTAACCCTACAGTCTGCTCATTTGAGGAGCCTACCTGCGTGGGCCTTTGGGATTTATCTGAAATCCCATTTTGGCAGCTAAGGGGGACAGCAAGTGGTTGGGGATGAAGGCCAGGGCATGCTGGAGAGAAGAGTGACTATGTGCAAGAGGCTAAGAAACAGAGCTGGGAGAAAGGGCAGGCAGGGGAAACAGAATGATTCCACAAAGAAACTCAGTCAACATAAGCTTCAAAATAGAGAGCTACTCCCTATGAGCAGGAAGGAAACCTACTGTTTGTTCTTGGTGGTGATAATATTCCTAGCACCTTCAACACCCTAGTTTGCCTTCTCCTGAATTTCAGCTGTTCCAGCTCAGAAAGGCCACTCCAAACATGGAGTTCACATCTGTGAACTCCATTAGTTGCCCTGCTGAAGAGCAGCAGGGCATCCATGCAGGAATCCCACCTCTGAGCGTTCCCAGCATGAAGCCTCTGAAAATCATAATTACCATGATAGATACAGATTTTCCTATTATAAAAATAACTCCAGCTCAGTGAAAAGCCTGAAACTTATATAAAAAAAAAAAGTAAGGGCATATTTTAATTGTGTAAATCTTACAGGTCGGAAGACCTTTAGCATCTGAATACACAGTAATGACTGTACTGCTAATTGAAGAATCACAGAATCTTTAAGGTTGGAAAAGACCTCTGAGATCATCTAGTCTAACTGTGGAGCCATTTCCACCATGGCCACTAAACCAAGTCCCTCAGTGCCACATGTCCACAGTTCCTGAAAACCTCCAGGGATGGTGACTCCACCACTTCCCTGGGCAGCATGTTCAGAGAAGAAATTTTTCTTAATATCTAACATGAGCCTTCCCTGGTGTCATTTAAGGCTATTACCTCTCATCCTATCACTGTTACCCAGGAAAAGAGGCTGATCTCCACCTTGCCACAAGCTTCTCTCAGGGTGTTGTAGGGAGTGATAAGGTCTCCCCTGAGCTTCCTCCCCTCCAGACACCTCACTGCTCCATTGCCCTTCTCTGGACATGCTTCAGGACCTCAATGTCTTTCTGGCAGTGAAGTGCCCAAATACAAACACTGGAGATGCAGCCTCACCGGTGCCAAACAGAGGGACAATCACCTCCCTGTTCCTGCTGGCTGTGCTATTTCTGATACAAGCCAAGATGCCATTTGCCTTCTTGCCCAGCTGGGCACTCCACTTGCACATGTTCACATGGCTCTTGACTAACACCTCCAGATCCTTTTTCTCTGCACAGCTTGCCAGCCTGTACCGATGCATGGGCTTGTGACCAAAGTGCAGGATCTGGTATGTAGTTTTGTTCAAATTCATCCCATTGGCCTCAGCCCCTTGATGCAGTTTGTCCATTTCCCTCTGTAGGGCCTTCCTGCCCTCACACCCATCAACACTCTCCCAACTTGGATTACCACACTTGCATTCAGTCCCGCACATGCTGAGTGATCACATTCAATATGATCTGCTCCATGACCTTCCCCATACTGAGGTCAGACTGACAGATCTGCAATTTCCCAAATCTTCTTTCCAACCCATCTAGTAGATGGGAGTCACACTGGCAGTCTCCTGTGTCCTGGAAGCTCCCCCGTTGACCAGGATTGCTGATAGACATTCCAAAGCAGCTTTATGAGCACTTCCAATAGCTCCCTCAGCACCCTCAAGTGGATCCCATCTGGCCCCATGGGTTTGTGACAGTCTAGGTGCTGCAGTTCCAGGAATGCCTGGAAAGCCACCAGAACAAACCTGTTTGTCTTTTTTCTATCTCTGAAAGAGCTGCTTGTCTCATTTTAAAGCTATCCAATCATAACATCTGGAAACCAACCCAACCTGTTCATGCTGTCTGTTACTCCTGGGCACTGCTTTGCAAGTTGCAAAGAGGCAAGGAGAGTACATAGGGCTCTCAGATTATAGAGAACCAATTTGCACTCTGGAGAGATTTTAATGCCAGTGAAAAACATTAGATGAAAAGCTTATGACATAGAAAATTCTCTAGGTGGAGTAAAGAGCCCACAAAGCTACACTCGTCTCATAGCACCGCAAAGGCACACAGCCAAAGTAGCTGTCACATCGGAGGCAGAGCATGCCCAAGGCTCCCGGGATCCATCTTCTCCCCAGGATCCATCAGGTTGCACAGCACACGCAGTATCAGCCCTGGGCTGCCAGCCCAATGGACCTGAACTTTCCCAAAATAAACACCATCCTCTCCAGCACGATGCAACTGAGCACATCACTTCAACTCAGTGAGGCTGTAAATTCACCTTAATGAAGGACCCTGCTACACCTTGTTGGGGAATCTATTAAATCAGTAACTTGACATGGCAAGAAAAGCTGCAATGAGCATCTGAGAGCACAGCCTCTCAGCTGCACTGCAGTCTGGTGGACAGACTGCTGGGGTTTTTTTTCTTTTGCACATGCTGCTTCCCTCACTATTTCTGAACTCTGTTATCAAGGAATCACATTTATCATGGTGCTGACTGATGCCTGTGTCCCCAACTCAGGGGTAACACGTGCAGCTCTGCTGAGATCATCCAGTATATCCAGGGTGTGAATTTGTGCTCTGAAAGCTGCTCCCATGACAGCTGCTGCAGGACTGCCAGGACACTCCTGCATCTCTGAGAGCCCCACTCCACTCTCACATTTGCCTCCCTGCAAAAGCGGTCTTTAAAACCAGTGGTTTTCTTTTTTTCTTGTTACTAAGTCTGTTCAAGCTGGGGAGGGCAATGTGTTCTAGCTCTTCTAATCCCACAACCCTGAGCCCAGTTTCCCCTGCACAAACTGAGCCCTAGGATAAAATCTCAGCACTTCATCTACCAGCTTGGTATCTCCATGCAAGTTCACTAAAATTGTCTAATTCTCTTTCACTCCAAAAGATGATTTGCTGCAAAGCAGACATGGTTTAGCTCTGCTCACCTATGCGAATGTCCACTGCGTTGGTCCAGTGCTCTCCATGGCTGTTGGAGGCACAGCAGAGATACGTGCCAGAGTCACTGACTTTGGTGTGGGTGATCTAGACAGATCAAAAGTTAAATTACATTATTTATGGTGACAGTTTTCTTCTAAAGAGCAAAAGTGCTCTGCCCAAATGCTCTCCTTTCTTTATCCACCAGCCCTGAAACTGTGTCACAGCCATATTCTGCCCCTGCAGACACAAGCAGGACAGCATGTGGCCAACACCAGAAGGTTCCCAATTTTCCTCCTGGGTGACATTTTCTAGATTTCTATCATGTAGTATGTTTCCCATCTGTATCCAACCCTCCTGAAGGAGCTCAAGAACCCCAGCAGTGCTGGCCTGCAAAGACTTCCGTGCTTCTCCAGCCCAGCCTTCTACTCAGAGAGGAACTAAAGCCACAGCTGTGTTAAGCGAGCTGCAGCTTTGTCAAGACAGGTCTTGAAAATCTCTGATGACAGAGATCTCACTGCCTTTCTGGGTACATACTCCACTGCTGCACCATCCACCCCCAAAGGAAGAATCTTTTCCTAGTCATCAGGCTGAGCTTCCCTGGGAAAAGTGCTGTTTGAGACCATGGTCCCTCATAACACCATCTGAGAAGAGCTTGGCTCTCTTGCCTTTATTGCCCTTCAAGTAACATCCCAGAAAGAAAACTGCCTTTCTTGCAACAAGAAGACAGTGCTGACTTGCACTCAGCCAATGAACCACCATAAAATCAGACCTTTTGCTAACTCCATGACTCTCTCCTGCTGTGAATAACTGTTTTTCCTTCTAGCTTTCCTGCAGGCGCACACCATTCGCAGCTTCATCACTTCACACCCACACCACCTTGCATATGCATACAATAGCTCTTGTGCTGCTACAAGAAGGTATGAGAGGCCTGCTGAGAGCCCTTAATGCTGGCACATCTGTGAATCTCTTATTTCCTAGAGAAACATCCACAGCTTTTAAAGCAGCCCATAAAATGTATTCCCTCTTCAACCCCAGTCCTTCAGTCAGGGCTATCAAAGCAACAGGGGGGATCTATGCAGTGCAGGGAAATGGCTGAGCACAAGGCTCTTTCTCCAGGGCTGAAGAGAGCAGGAAGACAGACAAGGAGAGACAGCTTTCTGCTGGCATTCACCTGATCACGCAGATCAAAGCATTCCTGAGCCTCTGCACACAGATAAGAGCTAGACTGAAGGACTGTGTCATCCTAATATTGAGGACAACAACAGCATAAAATTTTCAGCAGTCTCTCCAAGGCTTCTGAAGCTCTCTCATGCACACCATCCCATTGGGCTTCTCCCATCACCCACCTCAGTAGCCAAAGTTTCTGAACCATCCCGAGGTAATGTTACCCAGAGTTTTTTTTTCTTCTGGTGTTCCAGCAGGTTCCCGTTTCGGTACCACTGGTAGCTGGGGGCTGGGACCCCAACGGCAGCACACTGCAGCTGTAGTGGTTTTCCAGCTTCCACCTTCTGCTCAGTGGGGTTGAGAATGATGACTGGTTCTCCTTGCCAGAGCTGAGGGAGCAGTCCTGTGAAGCAGAGGCAAGGAATTAGCACTCCCTTCATGAGGACAGAAAACAATAATTCTTTTTTTCTGTGCAGGTTCATGTGCTTTGACTGAGAAGTAAACTTTTTCCACCCACACAGGAGATGCCATTCCAAAGGATGGCTGTGCTCACAGTGTAACCAATATACCTTTCTGCCTCAGGAGCAGGGAATCCTTGAGAGCAATATATGACAGTATATGACACAACAAAGCACTGCCTCTTGCTTCCCAGTCCTAAAGGTGCCTTGACTTTTGTCGATGCTAACTCTTTCTTGCTAAGGGTGCAGCCAACATGCCGAGGTCAGGCACACCCTAAGTTACTTTGCCCAGCTTTGAAATAGCCGGACTGCCTCATCCAGTCTCTCTGCCCTATGAAAACACCTAGCAGCAAACACCCAGTATAACTTCCCTCTGGTAAACCCACGGTGAGTGGTCAATAGGGCAAGAGGGTAAATACAAGCTGGGGTCACCAGGATCATGACAGGGACCTGAAATACCTGGAGCACAGACACAGTGGTTTTGCTTAGATCCACATCACTGGAGCAGTTCTCCCATATAATGACTTGAGCTTGGAGGACACAATGCCCCAGAAACCACAAAGGACCACTGGTGTGATATCCAGCAATGTCTGTGCAAAGCAGAGAACAGAGCAAAACTAGAAGACATGTTTGTACCTCTGGCAATGCATGGATGAACCTCCACCTTCACCCAGTCAGAGAAGATCACATTTCTGTAGAGGTCATTAATTCTGCAAGTGTAGAGTTGGGTCTGCTGTGCAGTGATGGGCAAGTCTTGCTTGGTGGCACCAGGAATCTGGTAGCGGACAGACTACAGGGAAAACACAGGTGGTAGGCAGCAAGTCCCCCCATCACTGCTGGTAGCAGAAGGCACCAGCAAGCTCCTTTAAAGGCAGGAAAAGCTGGTTGTGTCACATCCTCACAACGATATGGGGAGAAGGAACCAGTGGAAACCCTTGGCAAGCACATCTGTACTACCACATCTCCTCTATTCTCTTCCAGCCTCCCACTGCCCACCTGCACTGCTCACTGAGGGCCAGCTCATCTCACTGTAGGGCATAGAGCTGGCCCAATGCAATGAGGAAAGTCACCCCTGCTCACAACATTACCTGGCACTGACAAAACCACTGGTACTGCAGTGAGGTGTGGGCCTCAGCTCTGCAGTGCAGAGTGAAGGAGTATCCAACAGGAACGGAGACAGAGACCGGCTGCTCGGTGATCACAATGGCTGTTGGGAAACAGGTGTGGGTTTGCAACACAAGCAAGAGATGGACACCGCTCGGGTGGCACTGAACAGGTCACAAAATCATAGAATCATTAAGGTTTGGAAAGACCTCGAAGATCATCTGGTCCAACCATCCACCTACCATCAATATCTCCCACTAAACCACATCTCTAAGTACTACATCTCCACAGTTCCTGAACCTCCAGGGATGGTGACTCCACCACCTCCCTGGGCGGCCTGTTCCAACGCACCACTGCTCTTTCAGAGAATACATTTTTCCTAATATCCAACCTGAACTCCCCCTGGTGCAACCTATGGCCATCACCTCTCATCCTCTCACTTGGGAGCAGAGGCCAACCCCCATCTCTCCGAAACCTCCCTTCAGGGAGTTACAGAGAGCGATGAGGTCTCCCGTGAGCCTCCTCCACACTGACCCATCCCAGCTCCCCATAACACTTGTGCTCCAGACCCCTCACAGCTTCGTTGCTCTTCTCTGGACGCTCTGCAGGCCCTCGATGTCCTTCTGGCAGTGAGGTGAGCAACACTGATCACAGCACGGGAGATACGGCCTCACCAGCGCCGAGTACGCCGGGACGAGCACGTACGTCCCCAGTCGGGTCGGGTCGCTCTTGCTCCTTCCGCGCACCGCCGCTGCCGACACGCCAGGCTCGCCCTCCCGCACGGCTCACCGAGAGCCGCCGAGCAGCGAGAGCCGGACGAGCACCACGAGAACCAATAGCCCGCCCCGGCTCACCTGTCTGCATCGCTCTACCGGCGCTCCGGCCGCCGTGCCTCGCTCGCCCCGGCCGCCCTCAGCCGGCGGCTCCCGGCCCCGCCGAGCACCTGCGGAGGAGAAAGCGGCGGCCGGGAATCGTGAGGAGCCCCCGGCCCGCCCGGGCCCCGGGCAGCGTGGCGGAGCCCGAGCGGCCCGCTCTCCCCGCTCCCTCGGCGGCCGCCCCGGGCCGGGCCGCGCCGCGGGGCTCTCACCTGGCGGCGGCGGAGGCGGCTGCGGGCCGCCATGGTCGCCTGCGGGGAGCCGCCGTCCTCGGGGGGCAGCGCCGGGCTCCGGCTCCCCGGGAGCCCGCGGCCCCTGCGGAGAGGCGGAGGCGCTCACCGGGGCTCGCCCGGCCGCGGGCCCCGAGCTCTTCCGGCTCGTCCCCGGGGCCGCTCGGACGTCTCCCCCTCGGGCCCGGGGACGGCGCCCGGACTCACCTGCCGTCGGCCCTGCCGCCCGGGGAAGGCCCCGCGGGCGCTCAGCACCGCACTTCCGTGCCGCCGGGCCCGCCCCGTCGCCCCGCTCCGAAAGCGAAACGGCGCGGCGCCTCCGCCCGGGGCCGGGGCCGCCCGTGCGGCCGAGCAGGGCCTGCTCCGCGGAGCGCCGGCGTGCCCGCCCCTGCCGCTGCCCTGAGCGTCCTCGGCCCCGTGCCTGCGGGTGTCCGTAACGCGGCCCGATGGCAGCCTCGCCCCTGTAGCCCCGCGGCTGTTCCGGGCGCTGTCCCAATGCTGTCCCTACCTCATTCCCTCAAGGGTCATCGCTCCGTCCCCACAGCTGTCCTCACGGTCGCCTCTGTGGCTGTCCTCACCTCATCCCCACGGCCGTCCTCACCCCCATGCTCATAAGCATCCTCACCGCTATCCCTGTGGGTGTCCTCATTCTCATACCCACAGGAGTCCTGACCGGTGTCCCTGTGGGTGCCCCCACCCATCCCCATGACTACCTTTGCTCCCATGCCCATCCCCACAGCCACCTTCCTCCCCATCCCTTCCCTTCATCCCTCACCTTCAGCCTTATCGCTCACCTCTGTCCGTGGGGCTGAAGCTCCAAGGCTCATGGTGGAGCCCCAGCTGTGTTGTCCCCTTTCCCTTAGCTGGGAGAAGTGAGGTGAGCCCCAGGCCGAGGTGGTGACAACCTGTCAGGCTGCTTCCGCAGAGAAATCCCCTGCCAGCTGGGCTGGGCATCACGAGGGCTGCAGGGGAAGTGGCTCAGGGCCAGCCCGCCCCAAGGTTGCACAAGCCCCTTTGGGATGGCAGAAGGGTGACAGCTGGGGACAGCCTGCTCAGGCAGCCCAGCTGCTGGAGCAGCACCATAAGCTCTGGAGCAGGCCTTAACTGCATGCTCCGAGTCATTTGATTTTCTACTCAAAGCCCAAACTTAACCTTTGTGGTATGAAGGAGAAGTGTGAAATCACTCCCCTGGTTCCTGAAATCTCCCTCACCGGATGCGGAAATGGGTCTGAGGATTCATTAGTAAGGCAGCCAACTGATTTAGGAGTTAATTTCAGAGAGGTCTTCTGGGAGCAGAACACTTGTGCTGTCAGATTTCTATCACAAACAGTCCTTTATGCCAGGATGAGAGATCCTTTGAGCCCTTCTGGAGCTACAGCTTAATGAAATGAATTACGCTCACGTGCAGGGTGTGATTTTAGAAACAACACAGCAGCGAATGTAAGGATTCATTATCACTGCTCTGTGACTTCCATCTGCAGAGCACAAAAGGCAAAGTATCCTCTGCCACCAGCATCTCAAATGAGGCCGTAAGTGTGTCTGGAGCAATGAAATGATAAGAGTTCTCCAGCATTACATTTAATTTTGCTATGTGGCTCTATGGCACATCCACATCAGGGCTAGCTGCCCTTTCTTGTAGAAGGAAGGATGGTGTTGGAGTAGGTACGCAATGGACGAGGAAGATGATGTGAGATCTGCAGTGGCCTATATAAGAACAGACTCACTGAACCCATACTTATGACCTTTCAAAAGACCAGGCCAAGCGGAAAGGAGCCAGAGGTCACAGCTGGTGGTCCACATAGTTGGGAATGGAGAGAGCACAAGATGAAGAAGGAGTGTGGTTGGAGACCTGTAACCAGCGGTGTTCCCCAGGGGTCGGTGCTGGGACCGGTCCTGTTCAACATCTTCATCAATGACCTTGATGAGGGGGTAGTGGCCACCCTCAGCAAGTTTGCTGATGATACGAAGTTGAGAGGATTGGCTGACACGCCTGAAGGCTGTGCTGCCATTCAGCGAGACCTGGACAAGCTGGAGAGCTGGGCAGTAAGGAACCAGATGAGGTTTAACAAAAGCAAGTGTAGAGTCTTGCACCTAGGGAGGAATAATTGCATGCACCGGTACAGGTTGGGGGATGACCTGCTGGAGAGGAGCTCTGCAGAGAGGGACCTGGGTGTCCTGGTGGACGACAGGTTGGCCATGAGCCAGCAGTGTGCCCTTGTGGCCAAAAAGGCCAATGGCATTCTGGGGTGCATTAAAAGGAGCGTGGCCAGCAGGTTGAGGGAGGTGATCCTCCCCCTCTACTCTGCCCTGGTAAGGCCTCATCTGGAGTACTGTGTCCAGTTCTGGGCTCCCCAGTACAAAAAAGACAGGGATCTCTTGGAAAGAGTCCAGCGGAGAGCCACAAAGATGGTGAAGGGCCTGGAGCATCTCCCCTATGAGGAAAGGCTAAGTGATCTGGGTCTGTTTAGCCTTGAGAAGAGAAGACTGAGAGGGGACCTGATCCAGGTCTATAAATATCTAAGGTGTGGGGGGCAAAGTGGCGAGGCCAGACTCTTCTCAGCAGTGTGCGGAGACAGGACAAGGGGAAATGGCCAGAAGCTGGAGCATAGGAAGTTCCGCACCAATGTGTGCAAGAACTTCTTTACGGTGAGGGTGACGGAGCACTGGAACAGGCTGCCCAGGGAGGTTGTGGAGTCTCCTTCTCTGGAGATATTCAAGACCCGCCTGGACGCCTACCTGTGCGACCTGGTGTAGGGATCCTGCTTTGGCAGGGGGGTTGGACTCGATGATCTCTGGAGGTCCCTTCCAACCCCTACGATTCTGTGATTCTGTGATTCTGTGAGTGACCGAAATTCCCAAAGGACCTTACATTACTCTCTGATGTGAGCAGGCAGGGAATGTGACACAAAACTGATGGGGCTGAAGTAAGTCTGGGCTTAGGACCAGTGGGGACAAATTTCCACTACTGTCTCTCCCTCCACACATATGGCAATTACCTTCAGCATTGGCATGGAAGGATGTAGACACCTCCAGATGGCAGAGAGAAGCAGTTACAGCTGAGAGAAAAGGAATGGACAGGAGGTATGCAATGGTGCAAGGGGAACCACCTCCACATGCTTCCCCAGGCAAGGGACACTGCTGAGTCATGCCACAGGGCTGGCAGAACTCAGCAGTGCTTAGTCCCCCACTCCCCAGTGCTTTTCTCTTAAAAGTGATGAGGGTGCAGACTGTAGAAAAAGCAGAAACCAGCACAGTTGATGGAGGATGGAGGAAGGATCATTTGCTCTGTGCAGAATGGGATAGTCATGGTCTGCTCCTGCAAGGATGGCAATCTTTCACATGGCATTTGTGAGCAGAGGGGATTTGGGAAGAGGATGCTCAGCACAGTCACAGGTGCTTTGCTTCTGCTCACCTCCCCAGCTGTCTCTAACAACACACAGACCTAGCACAGAATTCAGAGAGGGTCCAGCCAAGCATTTTGAAATATACTCCTACATCCATAAATAAACATATTAATAGATTGCAAATGAAGGTTCTGTCTGAATGTTTTCCAGTAGTTCTGTCACATCTCTGATGTTGAGTAGATATAAATGCAGTGCGGGCAGCTAATAATAATGATCATTAAATTAACCCCAACACTTTCCAGCAGCTAAAGATGACACTTCCGCATGATGCAGCATCTTTTCAATCAGCTAGAGTCTGCTGCATTTCCATTATGTACCTTGTCAAAGTGCACCGTGTTTGTCCTTAAATCAATACAAGCCATTCTACATGAACGTGTGGCCAAGAGTATGTTTTGTTTTGTTTTGTTTTGTTTTCTCCAGTGGTGCCAGTGGTGTTTACTTGTTGACATTGCATTGGAGAGCAGGCAGAAGCTTGTTATTTAGAAAGGGAGGGACTTGCATGTATGTGTGCAGGATGGGAAAAGGAAGGGTTGTGTGAGAGGAGTGAGAAAACATCTGTCACTTGCTGTGAATCAGTGCTGGATTTGCAGGCAGAGGACGAAAGCTTTGCTAACAAGGATTGAAGCCTCATGGCTGACTGGCTTAGACTTCAAAAACGAAATGGTGAGAGAGCAAGTTTCCAAATGGAGACAGAAGCAGAAGTCACTGTCACTCTGCAAACAGACATGCTGTAAAAGAAAGCTCTGTCTCAGCAGGATAACTAGGCACAAGAACCAACTAAGAGCCTGAAAGGTCAGAAAAAAAGACATTCACCATGTGTCTGAGGGAAGGCTCAAACACTACATCAGGATTCACCCAATTACGCTCAAGCTGGTAGGTGCTACGCTTGCTCTTGCCATCCAGTTTTCCCTACAGTAGTGGGAAGAGGAGCAGAACCACAGTGTGAATGGGGTGCGAAAGGAACCTCTGGAAATCTCTAATCCAGACATCAGTCCAGGCAGGATCCAAACCACTTGATCAGCTGCTTGTCCCATCCACATGTAACCATCTCCACAGACAGAGATTGCCTACCTCCTGGTCCCTGTTGCGCTGTTTGATCCCCCTGACAGGACATTTTTTTCTCTTCTGACATCTGATCTGAATTTTCCTCACTGCAGCTTGTCTTTGTTGCCTGTTACTCTGTGTTTCTGGGACATGGCTGGCTCTGTCTTGCTTGCACCCAGTGAGGTATTGAACACAGCAAGAAGGTCTCTATTTAGTACTGTTATAAAGATTAAAGGTAGTTCTCCCAGTGTCTCCTTTTATGTCAGGTATGCCACAATGGGTCCTCCCAGCATCCTGCCTCTCACATAGGGCAATAGCACAAGGCGTGAGATTGGAGCATGCACACAGTGGGTATCCTTTTGTAGCTTGGAGGCTTCTTAAAGCAAAGCTAATATATTTGTCCTGAGGAAGCCTCGACAAATTTTTCTTCCACTGATTTCTCCTGTTTTTTTTTTTTTTTTTTCCAACTTCTGCTGACATACAATGAGTGGAAGCAGCTTAATGCCAAGAGGCATGAGCAAGCACCTCTGTTTTACTGATTGTACCATCTTCTAACTTCACTCAAGGACCCTGGTATTATTTTGAAAGACACTCTTTCCCTGTCCCTCAAAACTGTGTATACCTCTGTTCCTTCCAGGCTGACGAGTCCCAGTTATTCTTCATGTGGCAGCTGTCCTGGCCTCTGATCATTCTTGCTGCTCTCCTGTGACTCTGCTGCTGTATATGGAAAAGGAGTGTTGTTGTTTCCCCTATTGTCATTTGGGATCTTCAGTCTCCGAGACGGTCCTCCCCATATTTCCTAGTAGCAAATCCAGAGGCTCTATGAGTTCCATCTCTGCATTTGCCAAGACCAAGTATCCTCTCTGATGTCACAGTTTCAATTATTTGTATGCTTGACAGTACAATCATCTGTGATAGTGATCTGCAAAAAGCAAATAAACTCCAATACCTACATGTGAAATGATGTAGGACCCCTTCCAAAACACTGTTCTGAGATCGGAGCTAAGATAAGCATTTCACTGGGACTTGAGTGGAAGAGCAGCAGGTCTGATCAGGACACTGTTAAGCAACTGGATACATCCAAAGCTGGATTGCTTTGGACTAGTATAACTTCTGCAGGCATGAAAACCTAAGTTGTCAATCTGTTATACACTGACTCTGACAGGCCAGCAGGATACAAGAAGCTTTATATGAAAGTAGAACATACTTGGGGTCCTGGCTTTCAATTTAGTGCTGTCTACAAAGCCCCACTCTGTTGGACTGCATTCTGGATTCCCCACAGCCACTGTGTCTCTTTGCAACCTTCTCCCCAGCCCCATGCTCCACAGATCTCACTGACTTCCCCTCTACATGGGCTTGGGAATTGCTCAGTTTGACAGCTTTCTTGGTGGCTATCAGGTTCTCCTCACAGAAATCTTCCCTTCCACTTGGTTTCCAAGGTTTGGTATACCAGTGACAACAAGTAGCTGAGGTCAGGGCCGAGTTGCATCAGTTTGTATCTGCACGTCTGTGTTGTGGCCTTGTGCCCTGGTGTCTCCCAGCACTTTTGTTGTTTTCTAGGTCCTTTCTGGGGCTCATGGCTGATTTAGGCCTGTTTACTTCTCTCTTTCACATGCCACGCATACCAGTATTGTGTTTCTATCACAGACCTCTGGAGCAGTAAGTCATCCACGGCATTCCAGCACAGGGCTACAGAGCAGGATCTTTTCAGCCCCAATCAACCAGTCAGGAGCCCCTGACCTGGGGCTGTCACAGGGCAGCCACCTATATCATGGACTGGAGGTGGCAGCAAGTAAGCAGAGAGGTAGGAGACTCCTTATGGGATGCAAGGGAGAAATATATGGGCTCTGTGCAAAACTTTGTATGGGATGCCTAAGTGAGGAACCAAAGGCTGGGGAAGGGAGATATCAGGATGGTCCGAAAAGGGACAAGTGTAGGAAAACACAGGGTAGTAAGAGGATTAAAGGGGGTGGCTGCACCTACACCAGTGTGGTCATGCCACAGCGGTGCAGTGTAGCCTAGGTTCTAGTTAAACACCATTTCTAACCATGTGGTTTGGTAAGAAGCCCTCTGTTCTGTGTGGATGTGTGCAGCCACACCTGCCTTGCTGCATGCTGTCACAGTCATTCTCTCTTCTCCTCAGGCAAGGATCAGCACAAAGCCCCGTTGTTTGCCCGCTTGGGAGCTCTCTAGCACAGTCTCATCTCTTTTGCAGTAACACCTGCTGTTGTTTTCTTCTTGCAGACTGCAGGCATACAGCCGTGGGCAGGCAACCAATCCAGTGAGGCTGCTCAATCCATCAGTCCTGCGCGGAGCAATGCGGTGTCTCTGGCAATGTGCCTGCAGCATGCGATACAACAGCTTGACAGCAAGATGAAGGTGGAACATGAGGAAATTCGATTCTATTATGGGTTATGTTTTCATCTGGTATTAAATCACTCTCAGTAATCTTTTGTGACGTGTGCCCACCTCTCACAGCCCTGTTCTGTGCTGTTCTCTTCAGGGAGAATGAGTAACTGCCAGCACAGGGCTTTTCCTTGGGAATCCCAGAGAAAAACAGCTGCCAAGGGGGGAAACTGTTTGGGCTGTTCAGCCTGGAGAAGGCTCTAAGGAAACCCGAGAGCAGCCTGTTGCTAAAGTATCTAAAGGGGCTGCAAGAAAGGAGGAGACAGACTGTTTATCAGGGTATACCGTGATAGAATGAGTGCCCAGAGAGGCGGTGGTGCCCCGTCCGTGCAGACACCCAGAGCAATGCTGGGGGCTCTGAGCTCCTGATGTGCTGCGGGTGCCCGTGCGCACTGCAGGGAGTTGGACCAGGTCCCTTCCAACTCAAACGATCCCGTGGTCCTGAGAAATGCTCCTGGGGCCGACACTGGGACGTGCCTGCTGCAATGGCACTGACAATGCTGCAGGCAAAGCACTGGACTCTGTGGCAGCAGCGAATGTTACAGCCCATCTCGAGAGAACTTCAAGGAGCCCCGAATCCCCGACGTGCCCCCGGAGGACATCACGAAGCAAACCTGCTTCGGCGTCGTTACGTTCTGACAGCCGCCGAGCGGGCAGGGCCGGGCCGGGCCGGGCCGGGCCGACCCCACCTCCCCGCTGCCCCCGGGGCTCCGTGCCGTGGGGAGGAGGCCCCGAGGCCCGGGCCGCGTCACGGCCCCGCCGAGTGACAGCGGCATGTGCGGGGCGGCTATAAATGCCGGCGGTGATTGACAGGGCCGGCAGCGGCGCGGCGGGCAGGGGCAGCCGCAGCCCGGCCGCCGCCATGGGCTCGCCGCGCCGGGCCCTCAGCGACTCGTACGCGGGCAACGGGCGGACGTCGCCGCCCCAGCGGCGGGGCAGCGTGGAGGGGGCGGAGGAGGCGGAAAGCGCGGCCTGGGCCTCGCGGCCCGACCGGCGCAGCTATCTGCTCAGCATCCGGCCCCGGAACAGGTGAGGCGGGGCGGCGGGCCGGGGGGCGGCGGTACGAGCCGGTGGCGACGAGGACGGGGCGGGCGTCGGAGGGCGGTGGGGAATCCCGAGTGGGGCGCGGCGGCCGCCCAGCCGTCTGGCGGCGGGGCTCCGTCCTTGCCGAAGGCTAGGTAGCGGTGACGCGTCCGCTGGCCGTCAGGCGCCTTTCCGGGCCCTAAAGGCGAGCCGGATCGGGGGGACGTGCTCGGGCTCTCGAGGCAGCCCGGCGCTCGGCAGGAGGGCCGGCTCCTTCTTCCCTGAGGAAGGACGGTATTTCTGTGGCTGTTGCCGGGGCAGAGGCTGTCAGCGTCGTTCATCTTTTTATAAAAGGGCTAAGCTGACTGTCTTGCTGTGAAATCCTGACAGACACGAGCTTCTGTCTTTTTTTCTTTTTTTTTTTTTTATCCTCGGTATCCTCGAGTTAAACTTGCCTGCAGGATACTGCCCTGCCCTTTCTGCCCTTTCCCTACAATGAAGCCGCCTGTGTTATCTACACCATACTCTGAGCAAGGGGCCCGCTGTGCGAGTGCCTTATCTTATTGCCAAAAAGGTATTTCTACAATGTAGATATGGGCTGAGCAGTGATGAGAACTACATTCCTGGGTTAGAAATGGCCTGAGGCAGGAGGTCTGGGGTAGGATTGAGGCTTTGTTCTCTGGGGAAGGTATGATAAACATGCTGTCAACTCAGAGTGGTTGAGGTTAGTGAACACAAGGCAACATGCCAGGGAAGGCAAAGGTGTTGGTTATAGCGTTAGTTGTTCAAAAGAAAGCTTTTAAATTACTTTGAATTCTCTAGGAGTGCTCTTCAACCTGTAAGCCCTTGAAAGGAGCGTGCCTCTTTCCTTATTGATGAGTTATAAATAATCCATTTCCAGCATGTCAAGGGTTGAGGCCTGAAAGAAGCTGAGATCTGTGAAAATAAGTACGGCACCAAAAAAGAGAGAAATGTGCTGCCTGGTGGTCAGATGTTAAAGCTGTGTAGTGCCAAAGTTAAGTTGCCTTGGTTCAGTTGCTTTGTGCTTCTATCGTAGTGTGTGATCTAACTGTAGTCTGGCCGCATACCATAGCATCATCAGTACCAAGAATGCAGATACAGCACTCACAGCCAATCTATGACCTCAGACTGTGCTTAGTGGTGCAAAGGAAAACTGTAATTGAGTCCAATACTTCTGTTCTAGAGATCACAGATAGAGAATCCTTAATAAATAAGATGCTGAGGCTTTTTGGTTGCCTAGAGCTTGACTTCCTATTTCCCCCACTCCCAAATACGTTCAGATCACAGCTGTAATCTGTTTAACCACGAAAGGGGCTCCATCAGTCCTCAAGTAGTGCTTCCAGTGTTCTCAGCTGACCTTCCCACGTTGCGGAAGTTTTACTCGAGGCCATTGCAAAAGATGCACAGTGATGTGATGCAGTGAGCCTGGCATTCTCTGGATAAGTGACTTCTGCATCTCAAGCACAGTGACTCCAGTCCACGTCTGCTAAGCTCCAAGCTCTATACACCTTGAACTTGCCACACTAGCACTGTGTGTTGTCTGCACTCCTGTTTCATATGTAGGAGTCTTACGCCTTTGCAGACAAAGTGATGCTGTACTGAAACGCTTAAATTGGTGGTGAATTCATTTTCCACAAATCCTACAACGCCCTTTTCAACCCATTCGAATGCTTAGTTATCAGCGTAGGACAAGGTGATTTCATCCTGCTGTTTAACTTCAGTGGCTGACCCTTCTGTTGTAAGAGAGATTTGCTAAATAGCGAAACTCCCCTTTCCCTGTATTCAGGGCATCTTTCAGGTTCTCTAAGGAATAAGTGAGATAAAAATCCTGTTCCCTGCACTGCCTTGAGTGCAGATTTGAGAGAAGATATGTGGAAACGAACAGTTGCATTGCTGTCTGTGATGCAGGGCAATGGTTTGAATGAAGTGGGGCTTTTTGTTCTGTAATTAAATAATGTATCATAACACTTCTGGAAAGTGGATGAGTGGAATGGTGTAGCAAGGAGACTTTTAGAAAGCAATTAAGAGTTTAATTAAATCCAGAAACATCTGGAGAGCTTGCCTGGGAGAACTGGAAAAGCGAGATGAGTGATGTGTGTACAGGCAGATAACATTCAGCAGTTTTCTTTAATACAGAGGTACTTGAATTCAGTGGCTTTGAAGCTGGCAAGTATGGGGCAGGTGTTACAGACACAGAACTGCAGAGGGAGGCTGTTGTGGTGGTTGAAAAACAAAAATGGATCTTCTAATCCATAGAAAATGTGGTGGTTTTTTCTCAGGTTTATCTGTTGCAGTGTTTCTGTATGTATTTGTAGCGTGTTTAGCTGATTACTTGCCTGCTCTCTTCTCTTTCTCAAGGGAAAGGACTAGAAGGAGTAGTGACATGACAAATATCTTCATGAGGGGATATCCTCATGGAAAGAATCTGAGGTTAGGAACACTTCTGGTACAACTCATGGAGGAATTTCAACTGTATGCATGCATTAATGAACGGTGCAGAGAACATGGATGGTCTTTCTTGATTTTCCTGAGCCTACAGCAGGAAAGGGATGTTGTGCAAACTGAAGGATACTAATTTGGTAACTGGGATGTGCTTTTTCCATTTCTTACATTAGAGAAATTGTTGAGGGTAGTGCTACAAAGGCCAGAAGATCAGGAATATTGAAAATGGCTGTATATTCATAAAGTCATAGAATATCCTGAGTTGGAAAGGACCCGCAAGGAGCGTCAGCTCCACTTCCTGTCTCCACACAGCACCACCCAAACCCTATGGCTGAAAGCAGTGTTCCAAGGCTCCCTGAGCTCAGCAGTTTGGGGCAGAGCCTTTCTCTACCCCCACCTGATTGTCCTGCTACTCCTTGTGTGTTTTGCTCTCTAGAGCCTTCACCATCTTTGTAGCTTTGGATCCTCTCTAATAGCTTTATGTTGTTATACTGCAATGCCCAAAAGAGCACGCAGTTCTGGAGGTGAGGCCAAACCAGAGCAGAGCGGGCCAAAACCTTCTACTGACCTCATGCACAACAGGGTAAAGAACATCATCTCTTTATCAGACAGAGTATTTGGGATATTTACTTTCTATGAACTTGGGAACTGTTCTTTAGGAAGAGGCTTTCCCTTTCTGTAAGACCAAGCTGACTTTGGAGAATGTCTTATACCTTAGGATACAATTTTTTGTAAAAACAAATGGAAGGTGTTTCATCTGAGTTTGAGGCCTTCTCTTCTGTTGGAAGCGATCAGTACCTCTCATCTAATGTGGATGTCTGCATCTAGGTCTTGTTAATGCATTGCCTCCTTGCTTAAATATCTCTCCACTGTCATAGCTTCTTCATATGCAGATATTTATAGCGCATCTTTTCTTGGACGGCTTTTTCTGGTTGTGGTGGCAGCTGAGCTCAGGAGAGTGCCTTGCCATGATTTTTCTGTGCATCTGGCTTTTCTGGCTGGGAACAGTTCCCAGTCTTGTATCACTTGCTTTGCACTTTATATCAAATGAAGGTGAAAAGGTCTGTTGCTGTAGTAATGAGCTGTAAACTCAGGGATGCTTAGTTCCCGAAAAGCATAGCTAGTTTTCTTATTTCAGAGGAGTTCTCTCCTCAGCACTTGAGCAGCTGTAACTTCTTGTAGCACCTTGCTTTTGGCAGTAACCAGTGTAAATCCCCAGTGAGATACCAGCTGTGGCATCTGAGGGAATTCAGTGCATCTATCTTGTCTGACAGATTTTGAAAGGAGGCACATCCAGTGCTTACTTTAAAGACAAAAGCAAAGGCATTGATGGGCTGATCTCTGGTCTGTAGGCTCTCTAGGGTAAAGGTGTTTTTTTTTTTGGTTTGTTTTTCCTGTAGGTATACCTATATGAGCAACAGTGCCCTGTTTGAGTAGGTCTCCTAGTCAGTAGTACACTATGAATAATAATCTCAAGCTGCATTTTTTTCAACCCTTTCTACAGTGTCCAGTTGATATCTGCTAAAGCAACCAATGGCCCAGGAGTGGAAGATCAGGACAAACAGTGCCCTTCAAGAGCAATGTTAAATATCATGTTTCATTGTGTAATGGGGAATAGTGTGGTTTCCTTGAGAACAGAGGCAGTTTCCAGGAGTTAGAATTAAGATGTGCTCCATCCTCCTCCTGCCTCAGCTAGGCAAGGAGGCTCTTGAATGAATAAGCTGTTCTCTCCCACTGACTATGCCTCACATCCAATAGCATCAGCTGGTCCCAAAGAGGGAAGTTAGAAGAGCAGTTACAAAAAACCTCTACTTTCATGTTGCTTCTTTTCCAACCCACAGTCACAGAAATCTACAGACAGTGAGTTATCAGAGAGATGTCTGCTTAGCTTGGTGTCTCGTTGTCCAATACTCGTTGTCCAATACTCGTTCTACTCTTTGTCCTTCCACATTCCTCATTGTCTTTCAACTAGTGACTAGTTAATGTGGACGATAGAGGGAATTATATTTGGGAGTTAAAGTGCAAGATCTGAATCATTCTCTGAGTGTTACTGTGGTTGATGGAGGAGCACGCAACATAGTTTGTTTTTCACTTTCTGTTGTGTTGGCATCTAGCTCTGAATTGTGGCATGCAAGTTCTTCTTCATTTAAGCTCGGCATGAATTACCTTCAGAAAAATACCATACTTCTTTAGCCTAGCAGCAATTTACTCTGTGACCTTGACAAGTAGAAACTCAATAGATCTATTTTCCAGTCAGTAAAATAACAATGTGTCTTGTGCAGCTCCATAGCACTCACAGCTACTTTATCGCCAGGTTGCTGATAATTACTGCTGCAGTACATGAAACACAAACTGTTTCCGTTTGTGCACAAAATGTTTGATAAGAAGCGGGACATGTGGCAGGAAAGAGACTTTAAGCATAACCACATGGACATGAAGGCTTCATTGCTGGCTTTGAAAAATGTGAAATGAGTGGCTACCAACAGCTAAGGAAGTGCTCTGAGTGGCTTGTGTTTTTCTCAGGCAGTATTAACCTTAGAGGC